TGAACCGAGCAATCTGTTTATGGAATCTTGCTGGAATTTACTGGTTCTGATTACGAACTCATTCATGGCTTGATTGGATGATGATGATGAAGAAAGTCTTTTTTTTTTTTTTTTTTTTGGTATAGGTAATTTAATGTCTGATGTATATTAGTTGCAGCATTGCTGGTGGCACCAGCAGAAGACTGAAGTTGTAGACATTGCAGATGTTGGACGTTGATAAAATCCCATATGTCTAAGCTTGATTCTGAAACAAAATGGTGGTAAAAAGTCATGGTGTCACTGAATATTATTCAGTGCACTGCTTTGAAAAAACTGAGACTGTAAGTGAAAGATTCCTTTTACTTCAGCTGTTTGTACCACTGTTTAAATGATGTAATTTATTCTTGACCCAGTTTTATAGGGAAAATAATAAATCGTAAGGATTATTCAAACCTATTTAAACCCTTATCTCTAGCAACATACCAAACAACTTGAAAAAAGTTTAAATGATTAAATTCATAAATACCTAATAAAATATTACTTTTTAACAGGAAGTCTTGACCTAGGATGTTTGTTTTATTGTTCAATATAATCATTCATTTCAGAAGTCCAGGAGTAACAGTAAAAATGCAATTGATAAATACTCCTACAACAAACTAATAGCTCCAGGGCTGACAGCTGACAGCATTTTTCACAATGTCGTTTCAGTACGACAACCAGGCTTACCTCTGTTTGTTGCACTGCGTACATTTGGCACGTGTTCCCTTTTTACCCAGAGGTACAAGAATTTCTTAAAAATATTCCCAAATAAGGCTCTTTTTACGGCCTGTGGCCATGATTGTTTTCCCTCCAGCTCCCATGTGTTGATAGAGGCTTCACTCTGAAGAAAGTTGTCCCTTCCTTTTCCCCATGGTGTCCTGCTATGACTCCAGAGTTGCTCCTTTTTGGTTGCTCATGTTTGTCTTTTTTCCTTGTTACATAGCTCCCCCACCCCCAGAAAAAAAAAAAGCACTAACAACAATCAAAGACTTCTGCTCGTGTAACCCACCTGCCTTTTTCACTGCAGTATTTTATTGAGAGACAGAGAGGGACTCTAATGAGAAATTAATGGGTTTCTTTTTATATTTCTGCCTGTACACGTGCAAGTAGACAGAGCAAAGTCATTTACTTGGAGGCCCCAGAACCATCCAGAAGCATGTACTTGTAGTTACTGGGCCAAAAAGTGTTTTCCTCATCATCTGGAGTGTCAGTTTCCATGGTAGGTAGAGTCAGAAATATTCATAATTTGAGAACTGAACCAATCAGAGCTCAGGTAGGGAGAAGCTATAACAGCAGTTCAAACTTCATTGTACCATGACTCCCTTCTGACAACAAAAATTACTACACAACCCAGAAGGGGGGAGTGAAGCTTGAGCCCTCCGAAGCCCCGCTGCCCCGGGCAGGTGTGGTCAAAGCCCAAAGGCTTCAGCCTCAGATGGGGGTGGCTGTAACCTGAGCCCCATTGTCCAGGGCTGAAGCCCTTGTGCTTCGGCCCTGGGTGGCGGGGCTCGGGCTTCGGCTTCAGCCCCGGCCCCAGCAAGTCTAACACCAGCCCTTGCAATCCCATTAAAATGGCGTCACGACTCACTTTGGGGTCATGAGCCATAGTTTGACATCCGCAGAGCTTTAAAATAGGAGTATGAGACTACCAAAGTGGGCTCAGTGGATGGTCCCAATATTATACATGTTGGTGTCTCCTGGAGTCAGAGGCATGGTGCCAATGTCTATGATGACTTTGCCAATCTCTTGCACCGAGCAGCACAGTCCTCGGATCCCCCACAGGATCAAGCCCTTAATACAGTGCATGACCTATTATAATTTTTATAAAGCTTGACCTCAAAAGTAAGATGTTTTTCCCCCTGATGCTTTCTTTATATAGAATAGCAGCCTTTCACTCAAGGTTTTTGATAGAGGCTCATGGATTCAGCATATGTATTTTTTTTATTTAAGTATTTTAAGGGATTATAACAAGTTTAGTCTCAACATATTTTGTATTAAATTCAGATTTGACTTGAAACAGATATGTTTTTAAAAAGAAAAATGTATAATCATTTAAATAACAATTTAAAAATCTGATTTAAATAAGAAATCGTAAGTTTTTAACCATTCTGCTTTAGTTGTGTTGAATTGGAATGTTCCCCTTTTCAAAACTTTTCCCAGCGGCGTGGTTGAAAAAATGAGTTGATGATCTTGGTCTAATTCTTAATGGACAGTTCTCCCAAAAGGTGGGAGGTGGGGGAAAGGGGCACTTACTCCCACTTATTCGAAGAGGGCAATGAATGAGTGGGCTTTGGAGACTCCTACCTTGCATTGATTTTAATGGAAGTTAGGATTCTAACTACCTTTGTGGATCTGGCCCTGAATTCTCTCCCCTCTTCCCCCCCCCCCCCCCCCGTTGATTCCTCCCTGGTTATGGGTGGGAGAATGTGGAGGAAGGAAATCTGCAATTCCACAACTTGATCTATAGACAAAGTCTTCAAGGCTGCCAGGCTGACATATTTATAAATAATAAAATAACTTCAAAAAGTAACAAATTTCACCATAGACATAGGAAGTTTAAATTAAACAGAGAATCACAACCACTGCTCTTTTGTTCCATCTTACTCTATTCATTACATGTATCTTTAACACATGCCCTTGTTACTGATCTGTTCTAGTACCATTCAGAACACCCAGCCAATTAGCCATACTTAACATATCTAAATAAAATCAATATCTATCACATTTAATGCTTCGTTAATTATTTGTACTATTTTGCTCATGTCTCATTACACTTTTTTGATTAGCCTCCTAAGGGCAATATGTGTCCCATACTGAAGAAAATTCATTTCCAGTGGGATTAATAAAAACTCCCCTGTATTGAAGATATATATTATAATACCAAATTGTAACCTTTTCAAAATCTAAATTTTAAATAAAAGGCCCCTTATTTAATTATCAAACAGCTGCTGGAATGTGTTTTTATTCAAAACCATTGTCAAGTACCCTAGTGTTGCTTCTTCTAATGACTGATTAATATGAATAATGGAACATATGCATACAGGATAAAATTAATTTCCTCTGCCCTAGCACAAATCCGAAGCAAACTGCCACGTAGGGGTGTTTGGAACGGACTTCAGCCCCAACCAGTAGCCAAAGCATGGAGCAGCTTCTCATTGTATCTGTTGCTGTGCTTCCGGCATCTGGACTGAACAGGAGCGGTGACTGTTGCACACACTGCTGTGCAGAGGTTCATGGCCACTGGTCTATTTAATTGCGGATTCAGTGGCCTTGTCCTGGCCTACCTCAAAGTTCCTATGCATGGGTTACACAGAATAATCATTCCACTGGTTTCAGAGGGTAGAGAGTCACCCTGTTTACCTACTGTGTTAGCTGCCCTTCTCCTGTGCAGCAGAACAGCTGCTGCAACAGCTGTTCTGCTGTTACCAGTTTTAAGTGGCCCCTGTTGTTGTGGGTGAATTTCATCCACACTTAAATACTGCTTTAGAGAATGATTTTATTGCATAGATTGCCTGCTGTCAGTTGAGCATATGAAAGTTTGATTTTAAAAAATTATTCAGTAATGTCTATGAATGCTTAAAAGTTTAAATAAACATTTGATCTTGTTTTGAGTGACATGAATAATTTTCTTAGAAGCTGTTTGCCTTTGTCTTAGCAACATTGTTCCATGCACAAGCACTAGGTAGCACAGCGCAGGTTTTCAAAATGATGCCATTAGCCTTTTACAAATACTGATGCTTTTAAACTGGTTTCAACCGACAGCTTTGGAACAGCTATTTTCAAGGAAGAGACCCCCTGTGTTGTACACCCACAGTTGTTCAGTACCAAAGAACAGCCACATCATGTATATATTTCAGTGATCTGATTTCCTGGAAGACTTGAGGAAGGCAAACTGAGCAATAGAGCAAATTTTGGCTCTATTGTTACGCCTCCAGAGCTAAGATTTCTGAAATTAATTCATGAAGTGGCTTTTTTTTAACTGGTGCTGAAGAAATGTGGGTGTGTGGTGCTGGTGGCATCTCTCTTTAAAATCAGCCATTTGGGCAAGCCGGCTTTTCTTAAGGGGCCATTGAGCACTCAAAGCCCCAAATTAAATTTGCCATTCTTAAAAGTGAAGTGGGTTGTGATTTACATCCCAGGAGAGTGACCTCTTCCATTTATTCACAGATGGGATGTGCAGTGTAGATGATCAGGTTTCCCAGTGCTGTTTGCCATTGTGTCCCAATGCTAACCTGAGGAGAACACCATTAAGGGCGAGAGGGGAATTCACTCTTTATGATCCATTCAGACTTCATTGTGTCAGTTGAAACTACGGCCAATAATGTAATGAGAGTCTAATGTATTGGTGGCTTTTGTGATGTAGACCTCTGTCCATTGGGAACTAGTTTGAGACCCTAAACTCATTTCTTATAGGCCAGCAGTCAGCCATTGGATGGCAACAAATTTCAATTTGTTAGCAGTTTGAGGCATATCTGGAAGTGTGACCTACAATTGAAAGGATCTTTATGCCATTATTGATCCCTGAATGCCTCTTTCATCAAGGTTGCCTCATCTTCATGCCTGAATTGATGACTTGCCAGGAGCATTAGAAATACATAATTTGTGTATGCACTTATGTATTTTTATTATTAAAAATAAACAACCATCAAATGTGCTTGAACTTAAAATTCTTTGTTAGATGAACTGAAAATACTTGTTATGAGTGCCAGTATGAGAGAAATTAAAATATAAACAAACAACGTAAGGGAAAAATAGATTCCACTTTTAAGTTTTTCAGATCTAATAAATATAAGATGCAATTAGTTACGTAGGTAAGAAAATGTTTATTTAATGAGTTACAACATAAGTCTCCTTTTAAGCTTGATTTTTGTTTTACTGCATTTATTACATTAAAATTTTTAAATTTTTATTTTAAGCATCAGCTAGGGTAAATTCTCAACCTTTGTATTAGACTGACTCTTATTTTATACTTACAGAATCTAAATAACTGAATTTCATGTATTTGTTTTTGACATCAAATCTTCATTCTGGAGTGGGGTCTGCCAAGATTGAATGCCTTACCTCGCATTTTGGGGTACAGAGACTCTCTATGAAATTGCCATAGCATTTTTTGCGATTCATATAAAGGTAAATGGAAAATACCCCACAATTTATGCAGATCTATGCAACTAAGTACAACTTTCCAAGTGAAAACCAGGAATAGGTTATGTATGACTATAGAAATGTCTATAAAAATGATTCACTGGAAGATTTTTAGCTATATTGTGCCCCTAAAAAAACTATTGTAAATTCGTCTACAAGGAAAGATCTCATATGTAGTAGGTTTCGTGTCTCGTTGGTTCTACTCCTTTACCAATCCATTCCCTATTTTAGTAGAACCTGTTACGAACACCTCGAATGGAGGTTGTTTGTAACTCTGTACAAAATGTTATGGTGGGTCTTTCAAAAGTTTAAAATTGAACATAGACTTAATTAAATGTGAAGCAGGCTAGAAAAGCTGTATGTAAGCAGGCCTGGCAGTGCCCCTCCCCAGGCAGTTTCAGACAGAGGTACTTACTCCTTTATCCGTCATGTGCCAACGTCATGTGTCATGTAGTAGTTGGGTGGGAGAGAGAGGACTTCTCCCTGAAGCAGCTTGAGGAATGGAGCTACGAGACCTGCTCTACAGCTATCTTCTTTAAACAGCAAAGCACAGGTGGAGAGAATGAGCATAGACCTGACAAGCCAAAGATGGCTTGAGGGCAGGGCCATCCTTAGGCATACGTAGCTGCATAGGGCACCTGAAAATTTGGGGCACCCCGGGTCTTCGTGTCCACCCCCCTTTCCCCCCCCCCATTCCTATCCCTGTTCTGACCCTTCCTGCAGGCTCCCATCACAGCTGGCTGCTGCAGCCTGGTAAGTCTTCCTCCAGAGGGGATCTAGTACTTAGAAGTGAAAAAGCCACCAGCTTGCCAGACCTATTAGCACAACATTGAAACTGTTAAAGAGCCATTCAAGTGATGATAAAAGGAGTACTTGTGGCACCGTAGAAACTAACAAATTTATTAGAGCTGTAGCTCACAAAAGCTTATGCTCTAATAAATTTGTTAACCTCTAAGGTGCCACAAGTACTCCTTTTCTTTTTGCGGATACAGACTAACAAGGCTGCTACTCTGAAACCTGTCAAGTGATAATGAAGCCATTTAACAGGCATTTGTCAACCCCCAGGTGTACACGGTCAGTTTCTGAATTTACTGACAAAAACAGTTGTGCATTACTGTAATATTTACTCAGAACATGTTAGTCTACAGGACCTTAGTTTAAAACTTGCTTTAAAAATATTTCATTAGTGTATTACTGAAGATTATAAAATCACATCTCTAAAAAATCCTTGCATAGATTTTTAGATGCACAGTCTGAGTATTCATCTTTAGCCTTAAATGCTTGGCTCTTCAGACATATAGTTTTTTAAATAAATCCTTCAAAAGACTACCTTTGTCTAAAATACACATGCGAGCCTGGGCTGTCATTGGGCATAGGGGCACCAGTTTAATAATACTGCATAGGGCCTCATAAATCCTAAGGACGGCCCTGCTTGAGGGTGTGGGGGTATGGCATAATTACAAGAGGATTATGGTTGAGGATGGGGTGATAGGCAGAGATGACCTCCTTGATATACTCTTGTTATACTTGATATACTTTTTGTGAATACAGACTAACACTGCTGCTACTCTGAAACTTGATATACTCTGTGGTGGTGTGAAATATGGAATGAACAGTGATTGGTGGTTAAGGAGGATGGAGATGCCATGCACAATTCCCTATTGCTGTAGTCCCTCAGACCCTCAAGTAGTACTCCTAACACTCAGTCGGGGTGCTCCATGCCATGCTGAAGATGTAAAACATTGGTTCTCTCTTTTTTGAAGATCGTTTCCTGGTGCCGAGGTGGCCTGTATCTGATGGAGCTGAGGAGTTACATTACTGAAGTCTGAGAGTGAGGAGATGGGAATGGCTATGGCAGACTATGGAGGAGAGAAATGGGGGAATATTGGGAATTTGGAAAGACATCCTTTCATTGATCCCGAGTGTGGATAGGGGACAGGCTTCATCTTCCACAAGCAGGAATCTCATTCCTGCAAGTTTTGTTGGAGCTGTTATTCCTCAGAAAACAACCAAAGAGGGTGGTTGGAAGGAAAATCTGCTTCAATAGTGGAGCTCATGGTGTCACTCTAGAGTTGTGTCCAGTTGCTGTTGTGCCCATCTCTGCAGTTACAGTAAAAGGAGCCAGGGGGAAGAGAAGAACAGTATCTGAATATGGCTCCAGAGCAGAGCTGTGAATTTCACTGCAGAGTCAGTTACAAGCTTTTTCTCCTTGGTTATAATTGATTGTCTTAGTGTGGAGGTGTTTATCCTCCTCTCCCTGCAACCCATTTCCCATAAATCTCAATGAAGAGACTAGGTCAGTTTCATCCCTGGAATAATTCATTACTTGAGTTACACTAGAGGTGAATTTGGTCCTGAATGTTTACATAACATATAAGTTTCTGTAGGAGTTGCAATTTTCCCCATCTTTCTGGCACTTTCTTTAGACATTTTCTCACAAGGGCGCTTTATAAGATTCCACAAGGTCATTGAGAGCTTGTGTTTGCATTTTTATCTTACCAATATGAAGCATCTGCTCTGCTGTCCCCTGGTATATCAGGTGACTTTTTTTCTTCCTACTGTCGGTTGCAGAGAAAAGTCAGGCTTGCTCGACCCGGAATAAATTAGTAAATGCTACTACAGAGTTTCACTGTCCCTCCCTGCCTTTCAGCTGCAATGTTATGTGGCAGACTCACTTATCTCTTCAGAAGCAAAGAAAATCACTTTGGATATTGAAAGAGAAATTGAAGCCACAAAAGAGCATATAGGCCATCCCTGTCCATATGACCAGTAGCTCTAAATTAACATTGTTTTTGAGAACTGTTTCACAGGCATTTAATGTAAATGAACTGCTCTCAGAATCGGTGTAACACGTCTCCATTACCTTTTCCAGGACTTAGGTCAGCCATAACTCTTGCTTTGAGATTAAGCCTATGTGACGTTATTGACAGAATCTCTAACCGTATAGATCACTGTTGCAACCACTGTTATATATTTGCAGCAAATATTGTACAAAGGTTGTTGTGTGAGGTGTCTGTGGGAAGGTTATGATTTGCTGTTTATGATTATGCTATCTGTATATGTGTATCTTTTTTGTAGTTGAAGTTATGAATATTGGCTCTAAACTGTCTGTATTTCAAACTTATTCTATGCTTCTGGGTGACACCCCAGACAAGTTGGTGTCAGCTCTGCCTAGCCTGCTTGATGGCCCATTAAGGACCATCAGCTATACAACTGACCCATTGAGAGAAGGCAGATACACCTTGTGACTCAGCAAGGTATGCAGGGACATGCCTGTGGACAGAACTCTAAGGTATTTTTTTGCCATGTGCTGGAATGATTGTTTTTGGAACAAAGAAAGAAAGGCCCCATGACAAGAGACTATAAAAAGCTGCTGCAGCTCCTCCATCTTGTCTTCAATCCTGCTTCTTACCTCTGGAGGGACTTTGCTACAAATGGAAGCTCTACACAAAGGACTGATGACCCATCCCAGCTGTGGATGTACTCCAGAGATTTGATTTGAACCTGCAATTTATTCTATCACTGCTACAAGCCTGAACCAAGAACTTTGCCATTACTGTATGTAATTGATTCCATTTAACCAATTCTAGCTCTCATCTATATCTTTTTTCCTTGTATGAATAAACCTTTAGATTTTAGATTCTAAAGGATTGGCAACAGCGTGATTTGTGGGTAAGATCTGATTAATATATTGACCTGGGTCTGGGGCTTGGCCCTTTGGGATAGGGAGAACCTTTTTTCTTTTATGGGGGTATTGGTTTTCATAACCATTTGTCCCCATAATGAATGGCACTGGTGGTGATACTGGGAAACTGGAGTGTCTAAGGGAATTGCTTGTGTGACTTATGGTTAGCCAGTGGAGTAAAACCAAAGTCCTCTCTGTCTGGCTCATTTGGTTTGCCTTGGTGTGCAAAGGAACCTCAACCTTGAGCTGTAACTGCCCTGCTCTAAACAATTTGTTCTGAATTGGCACTCAGTTGAGTTCCACCAGAACCAGCATCGTTGCAGCCTACTAGGGAGAGAATCAGATTCAAACAGTGTTATTTCCTTTTTGTTTTTGGAACGTAGTCTACATGGCGTGCTGCATCAGGAGCCATTTCTTCTCCTACTCTTGAGGATGGGATGAATTCTTTTTTCACTGCTAAGCCATGAAATGACCACTTAGCATTTTTCAGCCTCTTTGCAGCCTTGGGTACCAGTTGTCACTCATCTGGCAGCCCTATTACTCAAGCCCTGGCTCAGCCTGAATGTCACACGTTTGGCTAAATCTACTGGTTCTCAAGCTGTGGGTCAGGACTACGTTTTAATGGGATCGCCAGGACAGGCTTTAGATTTGCTGAGGCCTGGGGCCAAAGCCCAAGCCCTATTGCCCAGGGCCAAAGTCTGAGCCCCACCGCCTGGGGCCAAAGCCTGAAGGCTTCAGCCCTGGGCGGCAGGGCTTAGGCTTTGGCTTCAGCCCTGGGCAGTGAGGCTCAGTTTACAGGCCCACCGCGTGGGGCTGAAGCCCTTGAGCTACGGCTTTGGCCCCCTCCTGCCCAGGGCTGTGGGGCTCCAGAGGGCTCAAACTTTGGTCCCCCCTCCTGGGCTTGTGCAGTAATTTTTTGTTGTCAGAAGGGGATCATCGTGCAATGAAGTTTGAGAACTGCTGGGCTAAGCAATGGGCAGGAGCTGCAGTTGTGCATTCTGGAAACTAGAGACCACTGTGACATATGGTTTTTGGACACCCTTGGATGCCTGTGTGCTTCCTCTCTGGTTACTGACACTGATGGATTGAAGCATCAGCGGCAACAAAAGGAGTTGCTGTCAGTGTCTGGTGAGGACAGTAGGTGAGGGGTCTCAGTACTATCCCCAAATTTGTCTCCCAGCTGAACCTCAGATCCCTTATCTTAGTCCCAGAGAGACCTCAGCCAGACCCTAAACCCCCAGAGACATGCCCCGCTCCTCCACTGGGAGTGCCTCCTTCCAATCCCCAGTCCTTCAGAGATCCCAGCTGGACCCCAAACAACTGCCCTTTTGGCAGAACCTTGCTTCCCAGACAGACCCTAGCTCCCCTCCCAGATGGCTTCTGTCAACCTACACTAGCTCTCCCAGATGTCTCAGCCCCTCCCTAACCCAGAAAGAACCCAGCAACACCTAGACAGCAGACATGCACTTCAGCTACCCCAGACACTCTCCAACAGCACTCCCCCTACGCTACCCCAGCACCCCAATACACTCTGTCTAGATCGGCTTGGGTTTGATGCTTCTCTTCTGGACTAGTGCTTTTCTTGTCTTAGGGAGTAATTTTGTTTCAGTTGAATCTCAGTATAATACACCACAGATTTCATTTTACACTTTCATGCTGGTGTGATTGGAACGGGCTGCCTCGCCTGTGAAGCTGGCTCCAGGATTACTAGGAGCTTAGACAACTGCACGGATTCCCTCTTGGTGTATTATAGAGAAGAAATGTGACTCCAACCACAAAATAGCTTCATCTGGTGTCTCATGAAGGCAAAAAGCCCTGTGACAGGTGTTTTTTGCAGGCACAAGGCAAACTTATTTTTTCCCCAAGAAATATCCTAAACATTTTTCAGGGTCCTACAGTTACATATATAAACTTCAAAAAGAACAGGAATATTTGTGGCACCTTAGAAACTAACAAATTTATAAGAGCATAAGCTTTCCTGGGCTACAGCCCACTTCATTGGATTATAGAATGGAACATACAGTAAGAAAACACACACACACACACACACACACACACAAGTTGCCATACAGACTGTAAGAGGCTAGTTAATTAAGAAAAGGAGTACTTGTGGCACCTTAGAGACTAACCAATTTATTTGAGCATGAGCTTTCGTGAGCTACAGCTCACTTCATCAGATGTTTCTGATGAAGTGAGCTGTAGCTCACGAAAGCTCATGCTCAAATAAATTGGTTAGTCTCTAAGGTGCCACAAGTACTCCTTTTCTTTTTGCGAATACAGACTAACACGGCTGTTCCTCTGAAACTAGTTAATTAAGATGAGCTATTATCAGCAGGAGAAAAAAACTTTAGTACTGATAATCAAGATGGCCCATTTAGACAATTGACAAGAAGGTGTCAGGATACTTAACATGGGGAAATAGATGCAATATGTGTAATGACCCAGCCATTCCCAGTCTCTATTCAAACCCAAGTTAATGGTATCTAGTTTGCATATTAATTCAAGCTCAACAGTTTCTCCTTGGAGTCTGTTTTTGAAGCTTTTCTGTTGCAAAATTGCCACCCTTAAATCTTTTACTGAGTGGCCAAAGAGATTGAAGTGTTCTACCAGTTTTTGAATGTTATGATTCCTGATGTCAGATTTGTGTCCATTTATTCTTTTGCGTGGAGACTGTCCGGTATGGCCATTGTACATGGCAGAGGGGCATTGCTGGCACATGGTGGCATATATCACATTGGTAGATGTGCAGGTGAACGAGCCCCGATGGCGTGGCTAATGTGATTAGGTCCTATGATGGTGTCTCTTGAATAAATATGTGGACAGAGTTGGCATCAGATTTTGTTGCAAGGATAGGTTCCTGGGTTAGTGTTTGTGTTGTGTGGGGTGTAGTTGCTGGTGAGTATTTGCTTCAGGTTGGGGGGCTCTCTGTAAGCATGGACTGGTCTGTCTCCCAAGATCTGAGAGTGTGAGGGATCATTTTTCAGGATAGATTGTAAATCTTTGATAATGCGCTGGAGAGGTTTTAGTTGGGGGCTGAAGGTGACAGCTAGTGGCGTTCTGTTGTTTTCTTTGTTGGGCCTGTCCTGTAGTTGGTGACTTCTGGGTACTCTTCTGGCTCTGTCAATCTGTTTTTTCACTTTAGCAGGTGGTTATTGTAGTTTTAAGAATGCTTGATAGAGATCTTGTAGGTGTTTGTCTCTGTCTGAGGGATTGGAGCAAATGCGGTTAGATGTATCTTAGAGCTTGGCTGTAGACAATGGATTGTGTGGTGTGTCCTGGATGGAAGCTGGAGGCATGTAGGTAAGTATAGTGGTCAGTAGGTTTCCGGTGTAAGGTGGTGTTTATGTGACCATCACTTATTAGCACAGTAGTATCTAGGAAATGGACCGCTTGTGTGGATTGGTCTCGGCTGAGGTTGATGGTGGGATGGAAATTGTTGAAATCATGGTGGAATTCCTCAAGGGCTTCTTTTCCATGGGTCCAGATGATGAAGATGTCATCAATGTAGCGCAAATAGAGTAGTGGTGTTAGGGGATGAGAGCTAAGGAAGCGTTGTTCTAAGTTGGCCATAAAAATGTTAGCGTACTGTGGGGCCATGCGGTGTTTTCTGGAAGATCACCGATGGATTGTAGTTTCCTCTACACCAACATTCCACACACAGATGGACTACAAGCCATCGGGAACAGTATCCCCGATAATGTCACGGCAAACCTGGTGGCTGACCTTTGTGACTTTGTCCTCACCCATAACTATTTCACACTTGGGGACTTTATATACACCTTCAAGTCAGCGGTACTGCTATGGGTACCCGCATGGCCCCACAGTATGCCAACATTTTTATGGCTGACTTAGAACAATGCTTCCTTAGCTCTCTGTGAATTGCACAATGCTGCATGAATAGGGAAAGATAATCTCCTGACTCATGCAAGTAATCGTCTTATGCACAGAACATGATATTTCATTGCTACTATTTTAGCGTGTAAAACTAGAAATGTTATGCACAAATTAACTTTCCCCCTTTGCACCTCCAGCTACAGCCTGTGTTTCTTATCTCATTAGTTTGGGCCAGCAACTATCTGCTTTTACTGATATTGCATAGTACATTACAACTTAGATGGCTCTGTACCTCAAAGGATCATGAAAATAAATTTTTACTTCTCTCTTTAAAAAAAATGATTTTAGCCTATTGCTACAACACCACCACACTGTGGATGGAAGGAAGAGTTGTTAAGCCAAAGCAGCAGTGGGACCCAGATTTCAACTGCCAGTGGGATCTCCTTGGGAGAAGCAATCCGACAGAGATCTGCCGTTAATCAGGTATTTCAAATATACCTTTAGTAGATCCTTGTTTATCCAAATAGAATCAGACAAGGAGTTCACTTACCTGAAATCCTGTGTATCCAGGTGAGAGATCTGTAATGCAATTGATACATGTTGGGAATACAGCCAAAGACTGTGATCCTGCAAACATTTATGCATGTTCTTAACTTCACATAATGTTAGTGGTCCCATTGAAACTAATGGTCCTCTTCACTGTGTAAAATTTAGCACATGCATAAGTATTTGTAGGATAGAGGCCCATTTTTGGCTATTGGGGGTTTTCTGATGAGAAAATAGTTAATTTTTAGTTTTTAGTTATCTTAAATTAGTTTGTAAGTTCTTCGTGTCAAGCATGATGTTTTTAAGTGTTTGTTGAGTACCAAGTACACTCTTGATTGGTTCCTCTGGGTGTTCCACAATACAAATAATGAGAAAACTAGTTTTCTTACTTACAGCTTTTATTTCTCACAAAGGAGGGCATCCACTGGTCTAAATATGACTTTTGGATTAGACTTACTCATTCTACCATGATGGAATCAACTTCAGCTTTTTCCCCTCTGCTTCTTTCCTTCTTTGAGTTCAGACTTTTGCTGGTGGATTGATGCAACAATCTTTAAAGCAACACACTTTAATGCCATATGATTACTTCCAAAGAACTACATGAACTAGTAGAAAACAGTTAATAAAACTGTAGTAAATTATAAGATAAATAGAAAGAAAGGAATAACACCAAAAAAACTCTTAATTTTTATCAGGGACATTTTGATTTATAAGGCAAGTCTGTAATTTTACTTTATTAAAATAAATTACTCAATACATTAGCCTAATACTTCTGTTAGAGTAGGTATGGTGAGTATTACATTAAAACACAGCAATGTCTTAAATATCTCTGTCAAGTCCCTATTTTAAATTTAAAAATAAAACACTAATTTTTCAAAAGCAATAATTTTTTTCTAATGTTTGCCATTAGAGGTATGATCTAGATAGCCATCCAAAATATTTTTTCCTACTTTGTTCATTTGTGCATATGTCAGTCAAGATCCTACAGATGTCAAAAGTGGCTTTGGAGTTTCAGATAGGTCAGGTGATGACCAGCTTGCACAGTTGAGAGATCATGTGGAATTTTTTTTATTACAGAGCTGGCTGTTTGTTTCATGCAGCATATTACAATAAAAACTGTTTTATCTGGCACTTTGCCAAACAGAAAACTCTATAAACAGGTATTTCTGATCTTCATTGAAATTCCAGTTTATAGTCCGGTTGGTACAGGTCTGGCAGGGTGTTGGGGCACGGGAGGGGGTGTGGAGCGCAGGCTCTGGGAGGGAGTTTGGGTGTGGGAGGGAGCTCAGGGCAGTGGGTTTGGGCACAGGAGGGGGTGCAGGCTGTTGGATCTGGGGCGGGGGCGCTGACCTCAGGGGGCTCCCTGCAAGTGGCGACCTGTCCCAGCTGCTCCTGGACAGAGGCGTGGCAGGTGGCTCTGTGCGCTGTCTTCGCCCACAGGTGCTGCCCCCACAGCTCCCAAGGCCATGGTTCCCAGCCAATGGGTCCTGTGAAGCTAGTGCTTGGGGCAGGACGGGGGCACTGTGCAGAGCTGCCTGCTGCGCCTCCACCTAGGAGCAGCCAGGACAGGTCACTGCTTGCGGGGAGCTGCCTGAGGTGAGTGCCCACTGCATCTGGCACCCCAACCCGCTGCCCTGAGCCCCCTTGCGCATCCAAACTCCCTCCCAGAGCTGCACCCAAACCCCCCAGCCCCGCACTCAAATTCCCTCCCTCTTAATTAACTGGCATTTTGCACTTACTGGCACCCCCGATTTCCCCAACATGCCAGATAAAATAGCTTTTACTGTAGTATGTTTCCTTAGCAAAGCCATAGTGGTATTCAGGTGGGGGAGGTTTTTTGTTGATTCTGTGACATACCCAGTGTACAATCCAGACTAATGAGTACCTGTGTGTCCCCTGCCCTCTAAACTGGGGTGCCCTTTACACGGCTTTGCTGCTGTAGCCTCCAGTCTGGAATGCTCACAAACAGCCTCCCGCATGCAAGTCACTCCCAGCTATGTCAGAGGGTGTGCTGTAGCCAGCCAGCCACACATTTGTTCTTACCAGCTTTGGTTATAATATGGGGTGACCCCAACACACCACCAGTCCTAGATTTCCCCCCAGCAATGTATGTCCTGTATTGCCCAGCCCTCTCCTGGACAATACAAATTCATATAAAGTCTGTATTTCTTTAATAGAAATAATATGCACACTTTATTACCCCAAATTGAGTTTCCCAGACACTTCCATTCAAACACATTGGATTAGATAAAACACTAAACCAACTTTATGAACTATAAAGAGAGAGATTTTAAGTGAATACAAGTAATAAGGCATAAAAATCAGAATTGGTTACAAGAAAAATTGACGAGCTAGTCTAGTGAAACTTTGAAGTGGATTCTTCTGAAGATTACCTCTCAAAGCAAAGTTCATTCAAACAGTAAGGAAGGCGACATGGAGTATGGTGATCAAGGAGACACCATGCTCTTTCTCCCCACTTGTTTGCTAAAATGCATATTTGATCTGCTCTGCTTCCCCTGCTGTCTTACTGGCCCTGTTTACTACTTATATGTAAATTGAGGTAAATACACAGTACTTTGTTTAGGACAGATCTGATTAATAACCGTTGGCGATGTAGTGTAGTTGTAGCCGTGCAGGGCTGTGTGGTTTTGAACATGTGCTAATAACATCATACAGGGGGATTTAATTTTACATATAATGTTGCTATATATATTTCATCATGATATTATTTACCAGTGAGTTATGAGTTTTCAAGTGGTACCTCACAAGGCCTATTTTGTACAAAGATGATTATGGTAGTCTGTAGGATGTGAATACAGGGGTGTGTTCAATCACAGGGGAACTTTAGCTAGCCTCTAACAAGAAGGAATCCAGGTAGTTCCCCAAGACGATATAATCTTCCATCACTTACTGCCGTCCTACCTGATTTACACTGCAAACTTAACGTTGCCTTCCAATAAAATATATCCAAAACTATATGCCAGGGTCAAATAACAAATTATTAGAAATTGATGTCTTGAATAAGAATTAAGATTTATAATCCCCCAGTAATTTATTTTTTGACCTTTTGCTTTTTTTTTTTTCAAATTTTATTTGGAGGCAGAGTTCAGTTTGGGTGGGTGATATTGAGTGATGAGAGACTTGTGGTAGTGGGGGAAATGACTGGATACTTCAACTGTTCATTTGCAGGTTTTGTAACTTTTTTTAAAAGTATTTTTGTGTAGAAAGTGTATTTGAGGGGGAGAGTTAACTGGGCTCCTTTGAAACACATTTTCAACCTTTAATTTTTTGGGGGCAAAAGTTTTTGGTTTACAAAATTCCCTGGATTCTTAAAATAAAAAGTGCCGATGTTTAAATTGGGCTGGCATTCAAGATTTGCTGGAGGGAACCTTTGCTCAGTCAGGTAATATGTGGGCCATCAAAGCAGGGTGCTGTCCTCTAAATGTTTGCAAATCTGTAGGAGGTATGTTGGTGGAGGGAGTTGTACCTTAGTGGAATACGGGGATGCTGGACATTGGAGAGGATTGGAGGCTTTTATCCAGATGGAAAACTTGAAGAAAACTTACTGTTCCTCTCTCCCTTATCTTCAGGTTCCCTGTGCTCACTCAATATTTTGTTCCCCGCACTTACCTCCCATGCCTTTTCTTAAACCGTGGACCTAGCAGTAAGGGGTTGAAGGCTAAGTTCCCTGTAAGCTGTGTGGCCATGCAGCCAGCTATCAAGGGCCATGCAGGCGGGGAGAGGTGCCTTTTCCCCCGGCCCCAGTTCCGGAGCTGCTGGGGCCGGGGAAAGGCGCCTCTTCCCCTGGCCCTGGGCTGCTGCAGCGAGAGATGGCTGGGGAGAGTCCTCTCTCCCTGCTGTAGCCCCCAGGCAGCCTGCACCCCAAACTCCTCATCTCCGGCCCCACTCCAGAGGCCCTCACCCACCCCATCCCAACCTTCTGCCCCAGCTCTGAGCCCCCTCCAGCACCCCAAACCCCTCATCCTCAGCCCTACCCCAGAGCCCACGCCCCAAGCAAGAGCCCTCACCCCCCACACACAACAACCATCTGCCCTAGCCCTGAGCCCCTTCTCGCACCTCCCAAACCCTTTGTCCCAGGCCCCACCCCAGAGCTCATACCCCCAGCCAGAGCCATCACCCCCCGCACCTCAACCCTCTGCCCCAGCCGTGAGCCCCCTCCCACACTCCGAACCTCTTGACCCCACCCCTGCCACACATCAACTCCATATTGGTGCACATAACAAAATTCATTCGCACATGGATGTAAAAAATTAGAGGGAACATTGGTTGAAGGCCTTTCTTAACCCCTTTCCCTCCTCTGCAATTCATGTTGCCTTCTGTCTTAGCCCTATGGAGGCTCTGTCTTCTACCAAGTACAATGCTCATTGCACGCTTTAGTAATTATGAGTGAACATTGTTGGTGACTTTTTGTCAGACTTCTGGTGCGTTCTGTTACCCACACTTAAAGGGTAGGACATTCACCTTGTAATCCTTGATTGTGCAGTTGGGAGATCCTTTTGAAAATGTGACATCCCAAAAGGGCTTTCCTTCTCTTAAAGAATCATCCTGCAAGGAAATTGACCAGCGTTGACTGGTACAAGGGCCATATTTGTAATGCTGTTGAGTCACATTCAAAGTTTATATCGGAGTGAAGTCTGTTTTTAATGCACCAGCGATATTGCATGCTTCTCTTTACCACATTTGGATTTAACTGTCTTGCTTTGGTTGGGACCTTTATTTATACCTGAGTAGATAGGAATATATTCAAGACATTTAAATAGAAGAACAGTCTGTTTATACTATAAAATACATTTTAATGCAATAATAATACAAATAGCTAATTATTAAACTTTTGATTTTGGAAGCAAAAGTAAGACTAATGAAAAATTAAAGAATTTTTCTTCCAAATTGTTGTAGGGAATGGAGTCGTGGTATCAGCTTCCAGTAGAAATGGATGTCAGCCATCTAGCGGCAACATCAGGGATGAGGTTGGGCCTGACTGGTGGTGGAAATGACTTGACAGAGTTCCCTACTCTGGAGGAAGGCTTGTTGACTCCGACAGAAGAGCTTGGAAGGCAGCATACAGGCGACATGGCACACACTCCGCTATTGGGTATACTGAATAATCTTTTAACAAGATAAGCTTAGTTGCTTACTGAGCATTCACAATCCTTAGCATGGATTTAATTTACTACAGCTCTGATCAGTGGTTTTTCAAAATAAATCCTATGTAGTTTTGTTGTCAAGGTCCATCTTTGGAATGAGGAACCTGACCACTTGTATCTTACTTTAGCAAGAGAACCTGTTATCTTTAGTGTTTGAACAAAATTCCAGTCTTGGTAACTATAATTAGAAAGGCAAGGATAGTATAGTTTAGTGAACTCAGAGTTGGGAGTTCCTAACTAGATGATATAATGGTTCCTGCAGGCCTTAAAAACATATGAGTTGTAATCCTGCTTCTGCAAGTGGCTTGCACTGTGACCTTGGGCAAGTCACTTAACCTCTTTGCCTCACTGTCTCCACTTGCAAAGGGGGAGTAATCCTTAGCAAGGTTGAAGATGAAGTAGTCCAATTTGTATAGTGTTTTGATAACGTAAACCACTAAGCGATAAGCGTATATAATTCCCTATGTAAAAAATCGTTCTCTTCTGAAGTGGGTAAAGTATTCTTCGTTTTCTCTGCAGTTGTTGTGCAGTGTTGTAATACATTTCACTGGTGGGAAAAATAATCTACATTTATAGTGTTTTGAAACTTTCGTTGAAAGGTGCTGTATAAACATAAGTTGTTATCATGCTTCAGCTAGGTCAATGACTTAATGTTGCATAAGATTTTTATTTTCAGTTACAAAAGGCATCTGAATAATAATTATTTCTCAAGAATTTTAGCTAGAAATACCTTATCATGGTAAGACTTATACAAATCTTTTTATTTGAATGTATCAGATTTTAAGGTCAGGCTTGACAAAGCCCTGGCTGGGATGATTTAATTGGGGATTGGTCCTGCTTTTGAGCAGGGGGTTGGACTAGATGACCTCCTGAACGAGACTCTGATAGTGTGGCTGATGTGATTAGGCCCTATGATGGTGTCCCCTGAATAGATATGTGGACACAGTTGGCAACGGGCTTTGTTGCAAGGATAGGTTCCTGGGTTAGTGGTTCTGTTGTGTGGTGTGTGGTTGCTGGTGAGTATTTGCTTCAGGTTGTGGGGCTGTCTGTAAGCAAGGACTGGCCTGTCTCCCAAGATCTGTGAGCGTGATGAGTCGTCCTTCAGGATAGGTTGTAGATCCTTAGGTTTGAATAGAGACTGGGAGTGGATGGGTCATTACACAAAGTAAAACTATTTCCCCTTGTTTATTCCTTCCCCCTCCCCCCCCCCTCTGGTAATAGCTCACCTTAAGTGATCGCTCTCCTTACAGGGTGTATGGTAACACCCATTGTTTCATGTTCTCTATGTATATAACTCTCCCCACTGTATTTTCCACTGAATGCATCCGATGAAGTGAGCTGTAGCTCACGAAAGCTTATGCTCAAATAAATTTGTTAGTCTCTGAGGTGCCACAAGTCCTCCTTTTCTTTTTGCGAATACAGACTAACACGACTGCTACTCTGAAACCTGTCCTTAAATAACTTACACCTGTTTAGGGGGAAAGCATCTCATCAGAAATCATGCGGTGATTATGAAGGATGTAAAAGAGTACATTCAATGAAAAAAATATATTGTGTGCTAGTGGGTAGAGGGACATTTATCATAATTGGATGACATGTTAAAAGAATCCACTTTTGTGATATTCCAGGGATCTAAAAGTGCTTAGTTGAGTAAAATTAGCTCTCATGGTGCAAACTCAGCTTGCCCTTGCCTACACGGAGAGGTGGTCTACACTGAGAAAATACATCATATTAGAATATGACCTTGAGGAGCAGTGGTAAATAAATGCAATGATGAACACAACTTAGCACTCATTGTCAACAAGTATGGTTTTGTTTAACATTGTGTCAGTTGGTCTGGCTTAACTCTAGGGTATTCAGTATACCCAAGTTTTCCATTAAATGGATGTAAGGTAGAGACTATCTGCTATTGACAAATAAAACTTGGCACTATGTTAACTTTAGTAGCTGTAACACTTCTGGTAAAGCAAATTTAAAAATGATGGCTGCCTCTTTATCCTTCGTAGAAAGAAGAACCAATATTTTGTTTGGTCTTCAGCTGAGGCAGGAGAAGAGCCATGGAAATTGTCTGAGGGTAATTTGTTTGTTCAGTATATTACTGATGTGCCTTACGGTTAACTATGATCAGTTGTCAAGATGTTAAACATGGCATTTGGTGTCCACACTGTGTAGTAAGCCCTGTTCAACTTCTTGTTAGTGACCGTGACGCCTTAGGATGGTATTCTAGTGCAATGTAATTTCCTAGGGTAAGTAAGCCCTTACGTCTCGGCATTGATGCAGCTATACTGATTACTGAACATGGACTTTGAGTGGTTTCAGAGTAGCAGCCGTGTTAGTCTGTATTCGCAAAAAGAAAAGGAGTACTATTGGCACCTTAGAGACTAACCAATGTATTTGAGCATAAGCTTTCGTGAGCTACAGCTCACTTCAAATAATTTGGTTAGTCTCTAAGGTGCCACTAGTACTCCTTTTCTTTCTAGACTTTCTGAGTGAAGACCAGACCTGAATTTCTTTGCCTCAGTTTTTTCTTCTGTAAAGAAAACTCTTCTCTATCTTGCAAGGTGGTGTGAGGCTTAATTAAATGTTTGAGCAGCCTTACAATGAAAAGTGCTATATGTTTTCAGCGTTATTACTGGTTCACTATAACCAAAGTTGCAACTTAATGTATTGAATAAATATAGGTTTCAGAGTAGCAGTCATGTTAGTCTTCGATTCTATTTTGCAGTATATGGAGTTTCATTGTAAAGTCATAGAAGTTAGAGAAGGATGAGACCCATTAGCTTATATTATCCAATTCATTTCCCTTCCAATTCATCTTTCCAATGCAACATTTCCCTCTTGGTACTTTTCTAGAGCTTTGTCCAGTATAAATGTCCAAAGATTCTGCTACCTTTGGGGACTATTGCATCGTGAAGAAAACCTCCTGATACTTGGCTAAATTTTCTCTTTCTAAATTTTATCCTGTTACTTCTATTTACACTGTCCATAAGAGAGTGCAGAGCTTGATTGTGATGTGATATTGAAGACTCTCGAGGTACTTTAGGAAGCAGTGACTAAAAAACTGCATGTGTAGAGAGTGCATAGGTTGATACCATACACGTTAAGCAGTAGCTCAACACACAAGCTTGAATTTTCAGAATTGTTTTATTGGGGGGAAATATTGGTTCTAACAACAACATTTCTCTTTTTTTAAAAGTGTTTTGAATCTGTAACTCTGCCTTGCAGCTTCCTTTTAAATGCCATTATGAAATTTGTATTGAGGTCACCTGATCTACATATAGAGCAAACTGACAAAGCCAAGAAAGTTCTGTTTTGTTTTTGCCTTTCTCTTTAATCTTCCATGAACAGCAATTTGATTCTGGCATTCAGATTTGTCAGTAGACTGTAAGATAAAGTAGCATGCCCATGTTTGCTTGCTCGGTAAATTCAACTGTGAGAAGGCTTTTGACCTTTAGAGTGACAGCAGGAAGAATTACTGTTTTGACACAAGATACTCAAAGAGTGTTGCGCTGACGTCACTTGCTGCTTTGAGCATCATGCACCTGCTTTTCTGCCCACAAAACCTAGGGTACATCTTGGTGTAATGATCCCTTAAATCATCATAAGCAGCCAGAATATGATAGTGATGATCTTTCTGTTCCTGAAGTAAATAAGTGATCAAAAATGTGATGATTCAGGCAGCATAAAATTAGAAAACCTTAAAAAATACTGAGGGGAGAGGAAGATGCATTTTTTAAAACTGATAGGACTGTGTTTGTGTAAGGAATTAGTTCTGTAGCCTTAAACCCTTAGAACACTGGCTTAGTGCAAGGTATTTAACCCCTTGGGGCGTGTTTAACCAGCCAGCTTCCTTGGTTTCCAGTTAGCCTCTAGGGGGCACTGTATTGAGGAAGGAAGGATTCAGGGTGCTGGAAGATGGGTCTAAGATCGGACTATACTAAATTTGACCGGCTCCTCTTCCTCTTTGCTGAGAATTTCTCCTTCCTTTGCCACTTGTTCTCTAGCTTGCCTCCCTGACCCACTCAGTTGTTTGCTGCTGGTCACTGACCACTGCCATCAGTCCCCTAAGGCTGGACACCTATGGGGGAAATGAGATGCATTGGTCATCCAGCCCAGGAAAGAACTGACATGGAGCAAAGAGTCACTCCATGCAGGGAACAGGCCAGTAGCTCAGAGGTGGCCGACTGCTTTAAGGCAGGGGGTGGGGAGGTAGGAAGCAGAGAGAGAGAGGGAAGTTGAGGACTTAGAGGTAGGGAGAACAAGACAGAGTTTACTTTTCTGCTTAAAACTTTTCTGTTTATTACTCCTCTCATAGTAATAAATTGAGATGCCTCAATGCAAGGCCAATTTAAAGAAAATGAAAGTGTATTCCAGCTTGTAGACTTAATAATTAGTCACAATAACTTTAAAGCCAGGGAAACAGACATGTACAGTGAGATGTTTTGGGATATTTCTGATGATCCCCCACAAACGGATCCTTTGCTGTCATTACATGCCCTTTGCCTTTTTAACTGCCATGTATTCCATATCACCTCTCCCTTCTCACACACTTGTCTTGCCTTCTTTCAAGCTGCCTTCTGCACCTGGCATTCTGTGCTATCAAAGAGCACCAAGCACATACCCACTGTACTTCCAAATGCTATCTCAAAAGTTCCTACAGTCATACACAGTAAACCATGGTAGAAAAATTGGTATTTCTTAACATTATACTGAAAATTAGGGTGAGAGAGAGAATGGAGGGGGCAGAGGACAGAACTTTTCTGTGGGTGTCCCAGTCTAATCTGTTTAGACTGTAAGCTCTGAGGCATGGACTGAGGTGTTTAGTGTCTTGTACCGTAGTAGAGACAGCAGCTGAGATACAATGAATTATTTGAAATTGCTTTGTGATCACATTATTATTACGGATGGGGGGAATGACCCATATTCTGGGCCGCTTTTGGTCTATGAT